GTTTTGGAGGTTGACTAATGTTAATTAACTGCAGTGATCCTAAAATGAATTTTTTCCTTTATTTAAATAATTTTTTCTTTTCAAAATATAAGTACTACTACACTGTACTTTTATTTTAATAGGAATACTAAAGCATTTAATAATCATACTATTAATAAATTTAACTGATTCAAATTAAAAATATAATTATTTATAAAAAATAAATTATGTTAAATGAAGAATAATATAAAATAACATCTAATAAACCCAGTGTTTAAAATATTAGATCCTTTGTTTGACAGGCAACCATTTATACGTTAAAAAAAATTCTAGGTGAGACTTGAGCTTATAGTAAAATTATTTGTTATAAAAGAATCTGAACTAAAGGCCAAGTCTCTAAAGAAAGCTCCACTCTATAGAGTGGCATCTAAAGTGGTACAGACATGTAAAGTAGAGTAGAGAGATGATAATAAAACTAACAGTTTTTGGATTTAAAAAATTAAATTTTAAAAATAAAAATAAATTATTCTTTACTTGATTATTTTATCAAGGTACCATCTCCTATGGTGATTGAGAATTTATTTCCTTATTATACTCATGCTAAACAATTAAAAATAAAAATAAGTAAATAAATAGATAATGAGTTTTGGTATTTGGGTTATTCAGATAATGTAATTCTCACTAACCTCAAATATCAGAATACAATTGGACGAGTGATGCAGAAATATCCACTTAAAATCAAATTAAGAGATGCCCAGCTACACGAAATTAGAAAATAACAATTAGAAACAAAAACAAGAAGTATACATAATTCAATTATTGTAAATTCAGCATTATTCGTTCGAGTATAGACTTTTTTTTTCCGTATTTCTCTTTAGCCAAACTTGACAAGAAATCTAGAAAAAATAAATAAATTCATTCAATAATGTTATTATAAAGAAGTGTCTAACAGATTGTGTTTAATTTTTAATATTATTATGCTTGAAAAGTTAATTTAAAATCCAATAATGTTTTGATTTTCTATTACTAAGCAACTATATAACGCTATATACTATGCATAGTACCTTGATAAAACACTCAAATTTGAAGCTCAAATAATGACCAAACGATAAATAAACACGAGACGTATATAGTAGAATTGATCTTATGTATCGTTGACTCTGGATTTTAATCTTAAAAACTAATAAATCTTTTTTTATGTTAAAGCAAGTGACATAGCACGTGTCTCTAACAATTTCCTGCTGAAGGAAATATATCGTTTGAGGACACGTAAGATAAAGAAATAATATTGTCATAGGAATTGTCAAGTTCACATTTGTGCGATATGTTCAGATGCAAGAAAGAAACAAGCAACGATTGTCTCTAAATTAAAACGATGGCATTATTTTGATAAATATTAAAGTATTAAAATATTTAATAAAAATTAATCTTTAAGAATTTATTTTCATGACTGGTTTACGTCTATATCATTTCATAAGAAACAATAATCATAACCAAGTCTTGAGCTATTTAAGACTTTAAGAGTAATGTTTAAGTAAATTCACAAAACTATTTAAAATAAATTCTTCATTTAGAACTTATACATGTAATTACCATTTTGCCAAATAATAACATTACCTAGTAATCCTGGTAAACGGTAATCACGTATCATATAGAAATGTCAACAAGGAGAGAAAAAGTCATCCAAGCCAAAATTGAATGCATTTTTTGTGACTGGTCAAAGTACACGCATATGTAAAAATCATTATATACTTTTATTTTAATAGAAAAACTAAAGATTTTAATAATCATATTAATAAATTTTATTGACTTAAATTAAAAATATATGATTACTTATAATAAAAAATTAAATCAAGTTAATTTCAGAAAACTATAAGAAAAGCATCTAATAAATTCGATGTTTAATGTACAAATACTTGTTCCTTTGATTGAAACACTTTTCATATGCGAAAAGATTAGGTGAGACTTGAGTTTATAATAAAATTATTAAGAATCTGAATATCGAGTTCAAATGATAATCAAATAATATAATAGACGAGACAATAAAATAGATATGTAAAGTAGCGAGATGATAATGAAGGTAAGAATCATAAAAGTGAAGTCCAAAAAAGTGAAAAAAAAAAAAAGAAGAAGAAGTTCTTCATGAAGCTACCAATGCGTTTGGTGATTAAGAGCCTGTTTGGTTAAGCGATGGGATCTTCAAATAAGCCCGTTTAAATTCAAATAAGTGCTTATGAAGCATGGTTAGGGTGTTTGAATAATTTTTATAGAATCCTGATGAATCATGATTTTAACCTCCCACCGCACTTTTAGGATAAGCAACAAAAGATAGCTTATGCGTTTGAAAAATCCCGATGAATCTTCGGTAACTAAATTTTCTCCAATCTACCCCTTCATTCTAATGGTAATTATTTTAATTTTTTTAAAAAAAACATACAATATGAAACTGTTTTTCTTTTAAATTTTATTTCTTAGTTATAATTTTGATTGAAGATTCAATTTCCTTATCTATGTTACTAAAATTGCTAATCAAATTTTTTTTATATTTTCGTTCATCTTTTATTTATATGGGGTCTTTTATTTAATATTTGTACTACACATAAATTTTGTAAGTGATTTTAAATAATAATAATTTTAAAATAAAAATAATATTTAAATATTCATGCTATTTATTAAATTATATTTAATAAAATTTATTATTAAGTATAATAATTATGAAAATGTAAACAACTTTATTAACTTCATGTCCTTTTTAGTAATTATACACCCATAAGTGATTTTAATAAATAAAAACCAAACATAATCACAATTCTTAAAATCACTTATAAAAAAAAATCCAAACAGAAATCACGATTAACCAGTATCACTTATAACCAGTATCACTTATAAAATTCACGATTATCTAAAATCACAGTTGTTCACCGCTAATCCAAACGGGCACTAACAAGTTTCCCTTGTTATATTATTCATGGAGAATAATAAGAAAAAGAAAAAAAGAAAAAAGAAGTAAATAAATAAATAAATAATTCAGTTAGATGACTTAATCTGATATAATCATTACTTACCTCATATGTGATGATGAAATTAGAAAAATAATGCAGAAACGTCCTCTGGAGTGACTCTCAAATGAAATTAAAAGATTATGCCCAACTGCACGCAAATAGCAAACAACAATTCACCCAATTAGTACAAACATACGAGAAATAAATAAATATATATATTAATTTTCAAAGAATTTAAAGTCTTGAAATTTATTATCGTATAATTATTGACGAACCGAAAGAAGGACAAAAAATAAAGCTCATGTACACTCAGAAAATGGTATTTATTGAAATAGTTTTCATGTTGATGATATTCCCGATTTATTTTTTCTTTTTTGATGAATATTTCAAATTTCCATAAGTTGCTATGAATACATGTGTGTGTATCAAAAAACAACGGTCCAAATTAAATTGTATTCTATTTTTAAATTTTATTTTCATATAATCATGATGTAAAACAAAACTAATCTTTTAATAACTATAAGTTGTTTATGTTCAATAACATAAATTCAATATAATGAAAAACATAACTTAAAATAATCTGACTTCTTTCACAAGTATATATTTTCGAAAATAGGCATTCCGTCAAATTCGGTGCGAAATTTAAATTAATATGAATTCAATGTAATACACAAAAATACAAAATAACATCCAACATTTCATTTTTAATTTTCTTATAATATTTTGATTAAAATTAATATTTACCTGTAATATTTTCAATGTCTGATGAGCAGTAAGGATGTGTTTGGTTGGAGGGGAGGGGAGGGGAGGGAAAATGAACCCCTCCCCTCATTTGGTTAAAAATTTTGGAGGGGAGGGGAGGGGAGCTAAAATGTCCCCTCCCCTCCCCTCCCCCCATTTTGGCTCCCCTCCAAATTGGGGGTTTTTGGAGGGGAGCCAAAATTTTGGACTATTATGCCTTTATGGTTTTTTTAATATTCCACTTCTATCCATAAAATATATTATTATAATATTTATTTCAAATAAAAATATATTATTCTAAGTAAAAAAAATAAAAAATATATACATTATTATAATTAAAAATATATTATAAAAATTATTTAAAAAATAAAAAATTATTTAAATAAAAAATTATAATATTATAAAATTAATTTTTTTATAAATATATTATTTATTAAATATATTTTAAAGCTGGAAAAAAAGATAGCCTAAAGAAAATAAAATTTCATTTTCTTAGAGCATATAAAATTTGTTAATTTGATTATTTTAAATATATTATTATATTAATTAGAATAAAAAAATTAATTAACATGATAAGACTGAATTTTTATTAAATTATATAATTTAAATTAAGATGTAAATTAATTTATATAATATATCAATAAAAAACATAAACTAATATGTAAGGGTAAAATGGTGAATTGATTATTATTATCCCTCCCCTCCCCTCCTTGAACCAAATAAGGGATCATTAAATACCCTCCCCTCCTCTCCTTTTTAATCAAACCAAACAAGGTGAGTATGAAACCTCTCCTCCCTCTCCCTCCCTCCCCCCTCCCTCCCCTCAAACCAAACAGGCCCTAAGGGAAGGCAGCCAGAATGTGATTCAAAATGGATTTTAGGAATTCAAGGAAAGCATAGAGGACTCTAACAAACAAATACTCATCTGATTCTATCTACAAGTTGCTTTTAGCATATTTTATTAGAATAAAGAGAAACCCCAAAATTTATTAAATCTACCTTAAATTTTAACAACTTTTTTCCTGTTTAGTATATAGTTTCTCCTGTTTAATATATACGCTTATTAAGAAAATAACAATCTGCCCAATAATAAATGAAAAATAAAATAATATATTTATGTCAAAAATTTAACTTAATGATGTAACAAATATATAAGACAAGAAACCTGCTTTCTACTTTATGGTCATGTAAAATTTTAAAAAAATTTATATTCTGTTGTTTACCTGTAACAGGAACTTATGATAATGTTTTTTCTTTCCTTTCTTTCTTTTTTTTTTGGAGGCAGAACAAGAACTAATGGGAAGCAAAGCAGAGAATTGATGATTACAACTGCTTCTGAAAAAGAGAATGAAAGAAACGATCGCGTAGACAACATAATGAGGCTTTAAATAAATAAACAAAATTAGAATAGAAAAGAAAAGGAAATTATTCTTTACTTGAATTTATATATAGTGTAACTTGGGTCTTAAAAGCTCAGTAGATTGTACATCGCAAAAAAGGGCAAAAAAAAAAAAAACGAAATCTTATGATACTATTACCTAGTTTTATATCCAAAAACATGTTTTCATTTATTTTTTCTATGTACTTCATATTTTGCAGTGATTGATATTTATGTGACATAAAGAGAAATTCTCAATGTTATGATGGGAGGAGAAAAATGCTCATATCAAGTAAAAAGTATCCATTCTGCTGTTATACTTTTTTTCCCTAAATGATGATATTGGGATTAATAATGTATTACTTCTAATATTCCCATCCTATAAAAAGCACTATAAGTTAAAGATATGTAAAACAAAGAACTGATATTATGATAATTACCTGTAAATACTTGTGATATCTCTTGAGGCCAAAGCCAACGCAGAAAGATGAAAACTGAAACTAATTAATTATGAGAGTAGAAGAAAAGCAGGAATTCTCAAGTTACACTTTACCCGATGAATTATAGACAACAATATAAATTAATAACTATTCTTTAAAAATGATATGATAAAATGGATAATTTTTTCCAACAAAATAGAGAGTATTTCGTCTGATTTCCCAAAAAAAAAAAAAAGAGTACTAAGCCCCTACAGTATTGTAACTAAGTATTATTTACATAATTATAGAAGTCATTTAAGTGGGGAAAAATCCTTGCGTATTTATGTATATGAAATTTGTATTATCATAAGGCTTTTCAAATAACTAAAATGAAATAAACAAAAAATATAAAATACATACTCAGTTATTACCTTAAACTCTGCAATCAAATTAGATAGGAAAAGAAAAGGTTCACCAAAATGACCTTGGAATCAAATTGCGCCATGCCAACCTTCATTAAGGAAACAAATAATGATTTAATTAATTAAGACTATGATATTACGGAACTTAAATTTTAAAGAGTTCATTTACTAGGAATATTCATTATTGTAAATTATTGTGAAATTCAAAAGAAAGAAAGAAAGAAAGAAAGAAAGAAAAACTTGTAAATTATTGGGATTAACGTAAGGAATGTTTAGAATAGTGTCGTTGCTCGAAATGGAAGCTGGCCAATTGATTGTGACTATGCTTTTGTCTTTTGTCCTCTTTCCCTTTCCAGTTTGTTGTTTTTCCTGAATCGCTGCTATTCTTTTCTTGTTTAATGAAATATCTTTGGTTAAAAAAATATAAAAAGTTGGGAAAATTGCTCATAGGTCTTAGATAAGAAAATTAAATATAGACATGTCGACCCAAAAATTTCATATTCATAAGTTGACTTTTTTTTTGGGCCACCAATTGACCTGCGCAGTTTACAAGTCAAACTCATATTTATAAGTTGAGTTGTGTCATTTATAAGTTAACTAGCATTTACTGTATATGATATTAAATAATTTTTTTCTCATCAAATATGCAGTTACTAACATAGCTAACTCCTCCATCCATTTACTCATACTACAACATCAAACATGAATTGTAAACATGTAATTATATTAATTAATCTAGGACATTTTTTTAAGACTTGTCCGTATTTTTTTTTTTAACCTAGAACATAACATAAGAGTAGAATAAATAACTCTAGATGATGATTGCGCAATTCACATTACTCATTTTTTCATTATCATCTCAATAGTCAAATAATGTTCAAATATCTTTTTTTCCCCCTCAACCCTATACTGCCCAAAAAAAAACATCAAATGTTCTTTTGGGAAAGGAAATGTAATTTATGGACGTAAAATAAACAACTTAATTATATTCTGTTCTTTACCTTTAATATGAATCGATGATCGGCAGAACGATAATGATTTGATCTTCTTCTGAAACTAATTAAACTGAAAGAAACAAAAGTGCAAACTAAGAGGCCTTGAGACAAAACAAAATTTATGTGCACTAGAAAAAAAAAATTTCTCTAATAAATATTAATAGAACGAGGGAATCTCCAAATTAACTAATATTTACCTCCAATATAATACAGACAACCTTGATGATATTTCGAGAATTCAAACGATGAAGGAACGCTGAACAAAATGGTTGACACTGCTGGCACGTATGTATGGTTTTTGGAAATTTGAAGGAGGCAACAAATAGCTCATCAACACAAGCAAGAACAAACGAGAGATGAATTGGAATGAATATATATAAGAAAGTCTAAACTTGTTGACAAATAAAGACTTGTAAGAATTTGTTCTTTACTTGAGCCCTTCAGGGATGGAGGCACCGATTCCAAAGTTACTGAAGTAAGCTATGTCCATTTCTTAATGTTGATTTCAAAGTTATTCCATGCATTTTCATTATGCTTTTGCTTTGTTGTATTGCATATGTTGCTTTCATTTGGGTTTATCCTATGGATTATTTTCCTTTAACAGGAAGGAAAACTGAAAATATTGCCTTCTTTATTATTGAAGCCCAAAATAATTGTAAATGTTTGGCCTTAACATATCAAAAAGAAAGATGAATATCTGATGTAAGTCATTGTTTCAAACTAAAGGATTAACACACAGCTTGATTGAATCCTGAATCTCATTTTCCAGGCCAATTATATATATATATATAGATCCCTAAAAGGGGTTGCTCGCCAATTTGGATGGAGCGAGAACATAGCTCAACACAAACCAGAGAAAGAAAAACAAAACATTAATTTCCTAAAGAGCCACACATAATCTGGGACTCTGGATTCATAGTAGTCCGCAGTATTTTACACCACAGAATGATCAAGTCCAGGAAAAGTCTTATGTTGGAACTGAGCTATGTTTGATTAAAGAAAATGTCTATGACTGGAAGCTTCAGACGCATGATGCAGGTGAAAATGTCTCTGTCTGGTTTTTTTTTTTTTTTTTCCAAATTTGATGCGGATTTTGGTATTCTTTCATGCATATATTTTCAGAGCCACATCGAACTTAAGTGCTTAAAAAAGTAATGTGCAAACAAGAACCTACTCTTCACAGCACCAGCTAGAAAATGCCAGCTAGCCACAATAACTTTTACTCATTCTGCTTAGTTTTAGAGATCAAAGTAAAAGAAATATTAAAAACAAAAAAAACAAAAAAAAATCCAAAATCCTCTATGATATTAGTCTTAAGCAAAACATATGCGCAAAAGATGTCAATCAGAAATATCAAACCAACTATGCCATGGGCCAAGTGGAGAGTTACTATTAGTACTCAATCTCAAATCTTGAACTTCATTTTTCAAGCCTATGAACTACCAATCACAGCATATCTCAAATGGGTTGTTTGAGAATTGTAATGGAATGAAAACATAGCTCAAAGCCAGAGAAAGGAGAACAAATACTAGTTTAGCCTTTTGAAATTATAGCAGCATTCAGTATTTTAGAGCTTAGTACTCTAGGAATTTTTCTCTTTAATTGCAGAAATCATACACTAAATAGTTTAATTCCAAATTTTCCATAGAGAACAGCTTTAAAATTTCATCGAGTTAATCTGGCATACATGTTGTACATTTTAAGTATTATAATATACTTTAGAACAGAGCAATGGTCGGAAAGTATCCCCGAGAAACCTGCTGGATCTGAGGCATCTTACTGACAATTAAGCTGAGTAGCATTTCTCTTCAGCTAGAGACTTATAATGCATGAACCATTTTTTCTTCTCCTCCAAATGTCATGCCTGGCTGAAATCTAAATAGGATTTCAGTTCAATAAGAAGTTAGATAATTACAGTTGTTGCTGATTCTGATGGTTCAGAGGGGCAGGCGGGCACATCACAGTCCGAGTTGGCGTCAAGATCCCATGTGGAGCAGCCTTGTGAGTACACTATACAAAGCAACAAAAATGGCACTGATTCGGCACACATCTTGCCTCCTGGCATTCGGAAGCAATCCATCATCAGGGATCAGAGAGATCCCCACCGGAATGGCGCGAGAAGAACAAAGCTTGAATGCAAAAACTACTCCAATGAACGATGGTGTCTTTGATTCCGATAACGGCTAAAGATAGATCGCAACAACGGTGTGGCTTGGTTGCTTCGCGTGGAATCCGGACTCATGGTCGAGGGGTGACAGTATCCAGATTGCAGCTGTCAGTGGAAGAGCATGGTAGGTGCGCAACCAGCATGGTACGGCACAGACCCCGATAGCCGCCGAGAGAGACCAGCTGCGACGGACACCATTGGTTGGACTGGGCTAGTCAGTAGCCCGAAGCCCGATCTCATGCACCTTTGGGCTGGGTTGGCGTCTTTTTTATGTTAAAGATTTTAATTACTTTTTCATTTTTTTTTAAACTGAAAAACATTTAAATTAAGTTAGCTATGTGCGTCTGGGGCTGCGTCTTGTTCCTTAATGTTTGTAACATTTTCTTGCGCTACTCGCCTACTCCCATAACTTGCATCATTAAACTATAGCCATTGTAACTTTTTGTTGTAGGAAAGTGAGATATATATATATATTTATTTCCTTCAGTCAAATAAAAAAAAAATTAAAGATATCACCTCAAAATTATGGGTTCGTATCATTGGCCCTGATTTGAGTGGGTTTGTTTGATATGAAAGGAAGGGAGGGGAGGAGAGGAAACAAGAGGGATTTTGCTCCCTCCTCTTGCTTGGTTGTTAAAATTTTTAGAAAAGGAGAAAAATTCTTCTGAAATTTTCCCTCATCTCTCCTCGTAACCTTCTCTTCCAAAATTAGGGGATTTGGAGGAGAGAAAATGTAATATTTTGATTTATTTTAACCAATATATGTTCATGATATTTTTTTAATATCCTCACATTACCCTTCTAACATATATTATATAATACGGATGTTTGTGCCTAGATTTTTTGAATTTAAATTTTGTCATATATTTATTTCTGAATATTATTTCATAGACCCAAAAAATATTCAATAAAAATAATCTAAAGTTTCAAAAAAAAACAACTTAAATGAAACAAGGGTAAAGTTGTCTAAATAAAAACATTTTTTTTTCTCTTTCCCTCTTACACCAAACAAAATAATATAAAAATGCATCGTTTTTTTTTCATCTTATCAATCCAAATAAGATAATGTTAAAATCATTTTCTTTTCTTTTCCTCTTCTTCCCTCTATTAAAGTCTCTCTTCTTTCCAAGCCAAACACACCCTCAATCAGTTAATGATTTGTTATAAAAGATAACTCCTTTTGATTTGATTTTAGCTAAAATGATCTTTCCATTAAACAAATTAATTTTTTTGGCCAACCATTAAACAAATTACTTACAACTTGACAGATTTGCCCATATTGCATAGCGATGATCGTTGAACAATTTTCCTAATTAACATTTTTTTCCCGGTAGTTCTACTTATATAACCTTTCATGATCCTAGGAGGCATTAGGTCAAAGAGCCAGATTAGTGATATTTCCCCATATAAGAGTCATCAAGGTCAAGTCTTTGAGTTCAAACATCATTCCGTCGCCCTTGATATGAGATTGCTGATTTGATTTGTATTTGGCGCTTTTGATCACATTTAAGCAACTCATTGAGGTTTTGGTTCAAAGCTGTTGTTTTTCAAATTTTT